GTTTTAAATTACATTAAAAAATAAAAAAACCTCAACTCAGTCCTGGAAAGTTTTCAGTCTTCCTAGATGTACTGCAGTTTTTCTAAATTAGTTAGTTCAGCCAAAATGTAATTATTCTAACAACATGGTAGCAACCCTGTTGTGCAGGCTGGGCTGGGCATCCATTCTATATCTTACTTTGTGCTCAGTGTTTTAGGCAGACATTTTCTTTTAAGCACAAACTTACAAGATTCGGGCTCATCCCATGTGTACTTTCAAAACATCATCTCAAGAAAATCCACGTAGGTAGCTGGATATGTAAATGAGAACTATAAACATGTGTTTAACCAGCTTTTGGGAAGTGGAATTATGGAAAAAGATTGGTTTGTCCTACTAATTTATTTGCAGAATCTATATAGCTTTGAGTAATTATTTGTGCATGTTTAAAAATACTTATTTGCAAATAAAGCAGTTCAAAATGTATCATCTTCTGTGTCTAAGTGTGAAGAATGGTATTCTACCAACACAAATGTATGTATAGCTTGTATGCTCAAACTTACATACTGAAATTAATACTGTGTGTTTCTGCTGGATTGAGTTCTTAATGTGCCACAATTTTATCATTACTACTATTAATCAAATCAATCTTGGTTCATCTGGCTTCTGTATTAGGAAAAAAATCCGTCTTTTCCACTCTGCTCTAATTTCTAGTTCTCCTCTGATTTCCTGTCAAAATTTTTCTAACACCCAGAGATATGTCCTCTCATTTTTATGTTGTCAGTTTCCAGAGAAATTAAAAACCTCACAAAATTTATGTAATAAAAATATTTAAATTCTCAGTCCTTGTGCTCCATTAAGTAAAGAAAAGTCAAAGAATGGAAAATTTTCTTGGAATGGCTTCAACTTTTCTAGATAGCACATATAAACAACCTCAAAACTTAAAAGGAAAATAAGACTCATGTTAAAGATTTACATAGAGATCTAACTAGCACCTGTATATATACATTAAGCTCTTGAATCACATGGGCTTCATATGTTTGCATTTGTATTATGATCAATATATTAACATAATTTTAATACTGATTTATATAATTGAAAATAAGATATTTTAAGACTATGTCTCTTTTCAAAGAGACAGCAGGCCTATATTTTGGTAGAGGGCTATATTTGGCTTCTGTACCTTTACATTATGGTAATCTAATCCCATCACTGATTTTATTTTAAAATATTTAATTAAGTGTTAATACACTGAATCCTAAAATGGGTTTCATTACCTAAAACACTACTTACAAACAACTGCTAGCACTGGGACAAAACCCAGTTTAAACAGTGAGTTGCACACATTAGGTATGACAGCACAGAATTTAAAGATTAATTCAGATACCCACCCCCGTCCCCCCAAGTCTGGGTAAAAGTGTAATTGTAGGCAACAATTTGTGTTGTTACCAACAGGTGAGTCTAGTAATCCTGACACTTCATTTGAAAGAAGGTCCCAATAATAAACAGCAAGCAAGCAAGTTCATGCAAAGTAATATGAACCTTATGAACTTAAAGCAAATTTTGATGTGTGACTTTTCAAAAAAAGTTCAAAAATTCATTGTACCTTTTTTGTTTCTGTTACATTCTGTCATAAAGCTGAAGGAAGCTTAGTACTTAGGCAGCCACATTGGACTATAATGAAACACTGGCTGGATATTCAATAGATGAAATAATTCTTGCTATTTCTTGAGAGATTATCATACAATTAGGTGATAATGACTTCACAATATACAAATATTTACCACTTGCCATTACTACTTAACCTCCAGAGGATTTTAAACTGAAAAGATAAATTATTAATAGTAAGAAACATGGCTTAAATATTTATCACCATTTGTTAGTAATTACTGCTCAGAAAAGCACAGAATTATCCATACATTTTATTTTGGTAAAAGAAGTTGGGTGTTAAGCCCTTGTACTAGTTTTATAGATACAGTTTGTGCACTTTTCATTATTCACAAACCCCAAAAAGAAAAGATTAATAACAGCTCTGCCAAAAAGTGTTATATGAGTAACTAACAAAGACTGTAAAGTCTAAAATTCTATACTTATTCTGATTCCAAGTTGATTACTCACTGAGAACAGTGCTTCCACACACCTAGTCTACTAATTGAACTTTGAATTGTGGCTCTAAAAGGAATGTACACTCAGGCCACTGGAACATAAGATGACTAACAGTACATGAACAAATTTTGGTATGGAGAAGTCTGCATCAATATCACAAGAAAACTGAATACAAGTGTGATGT